CTAAATTTACATGACAAAAAATGCCCTGGCAGGTAGCAAGGGAGACCACAGAAGAAAGGAAGGAGTTTCATATTTTAGTCCTTTTAATGCCTTTCCCTCTGCATTTTGAACTCCCCCGCCTCCCCCGTTTTCATTTGCACTGGTCTGCCCAAACAATGTAGCTAGTCCTGTGTGCTGGGATGTATGATGATGAAAACAACGCAGAAACCTTTCGGGCAGGCAGAGTGTGGGCAGACACTGCTGTGTCTCCCAAGCGCTGGGGCAGGGAGCTCTGTGGCCTCTGCGGCTGACCTGGAGTCACGCCTGGAGCAAGTGAACAATTCTGTGGGTCCTCAGGGAGTTTCAGCTGTACTGACAACCAAACTTCACAGAGCAACTCTCAGCAGCCCCAAAGCCACCTTCATTATCTGTGGATTGAAACGGTTAAAAAACTACAGCATCTCCTTCATGGTGTCATTTCTTTAGTCCCCGACCTTCACTTTGTGTTGAAGTGTAAATGGCCTGTACATGCAGACACTGCTTTTATGAAAGGAGTGGTTTACTAAAGGGTATAGGCTAAGCCTTGCAAAATCTGATGCCAGAGTGGCCAACTGCATAAAAACTGGGAGAAGGAGTTTGACTTCAGAGTATTTTTAGCAACTGTAAAACCACATATTTAACCAACCACAGATTCCAGAGCCAGAGTAAAAGCTTGGAGGGAAAATGGAGCATATGGGGGCTTGTCAATTATAAGTCCCAAATCTGTGCTTGAATCTTTTGGCAGCAATTGTGGATTTAAAGAGACCCCAGAATTTTAGTTAGAAAGATTCCTCTTCAATTTCTTTGGAAATTACCAAGCTTGCTTTTCTCTTTCTTTCTTGTTCCTTTTTAAGTAAAGAGTCACTGCTTGTCATAAACTCATGGAATGTGCATAGCTTTTCCCATGGTCTAAATAATATATATATATATATTTTTTAAGTACACTCCTTAGGTATACCTTGTTTAAATGTTAAATGCATTCTTTTCTTGAGAGCAGGTTGCCCATACATCAGTTGCTATGCTAGGAATTATTCTTTACATGAACTTGAGATGTTATGAACAAGCTTAACTCATTACAGCACCGCAGTAACATCATTGTATAGGACTCAGGAGACCAGGCACATTCCAACTGTGTATTTCCCCCTTTCAGACCCAGTTTTATCCTCCATGAAGAAGGATTGCTGAAATAGTACATGTAAAAGCTTCCAAATAGCAAAGTGCTATCCCAGCTTAAGCCATTACTATTGATACCTTTCCTCTGAAGGGTGGAGAAACAAAAGCAGAGACAAAAGACACAGAGGTTTTAAATCTCAGTGTGTATTTAGATGAGACTCATTCAGAGTAGCTCAAACTACACTTGACTCGTGGATTTTAGCTACTTTCCTTATTTAACATCTAGCAGAAAATAAGCTGAATTCTGTTTGCTCTCTGGACTTATTTATATTTATTTATTTATTTATTTTTGCAGGCAACGTTAGTGACATTGAATGGATGTGTCAGGAGCAGGTAAAGGCCAGGTACACAGAGTCAGGCTAGCTGTCTGTGTCTGAAGTTGCCAGCCTGAGATAGGTTTGGAGGTGAATCTACTTTTAGCACAGAAAAAATGGTCTATACAATTCCAGATGGTCAGCTCACCATGGAAATAATAATGTGGCAGCTGTCCAAAGTAATCATAAAGAATGACAGCAACCACTCAAGACCATTTTAGCAGACTGCTGCTACTTTTTTTTACAGATAAATAGGATAATCTGTAACTGATTGTTTTTAAAAGCCAAATGTATTTTTCCTGTTATCTGAATTTACATATTTATTTCTCACCATCCGTTCGTCAGAGTGGAGAATGGCGCTCTGACTGTGCGTAGGTCCTCTCTAAATGCTAATGTCTTCCACTCTGCCTTTTAACAGATGCACATCTAACATAGTCCATTAAGGCTCTTTTTAAACACACATAGTGCAGTTTCTCCATATAGGGGTAAAATATTGCTCTATTTTTTAAATTCTTACTTATAAAGGTTTCCAAGCTAATAAGAGACTATGGAGAATGATTTAGTGAAATTCAATTAATTAACATCACAACATTAACATTTTACCTTATTAAAGTCCCTTTTCTTTTTAAAACATTAAGAATATATTTCAAGCCCTAACCGGTTTGGCTCAGTGGATAGAGCGTCGGCCTGCGGACTCAAGGGTCCCAGGTTCGATTCCAGTCAAGGGCATGTACCTGGGTTTCGGGCACATCCCCAGTAGGGGGTGTGCAGGAGGCAGCTGATCGATGTTTCTCTCTCATCGATGTTTCTAACTCTCTATCCCTCTCCCTTCCTGTCTGTAAAAAATCAAT